GTTTTTGCACGTGCCTTAAGTCAGTTAGGAGCCCCGTCGGCTCCATTTCAGCCGACGAGAAGCATTGTCCAGGGCCTTCGCTCATGAACATGGCTCGGCCGCACGATGACGCATTTCATGTTACAGAAGATCGCTTTGGCCCGCCCATCGGCGAGCCATCGCGCGTGGACCGGCGACCTCGCCCAGCAAGTTCGAGGGCCGAGGTCTGCCATCCGTGCCCAGCTCAGTGCATGCATACTACACACTTACGTTGGTATTCAGGAGAAGAAGTTGACTGTCTCACCCAAGTATGTTGTTGCTTGCTCCAATGTGTCTGATGCCAAAAGGATGTGCCAGGCACTGAAGCGTCGCGGTTATATTCTTCAGCCCCAGAGCCAAGCCAGCGCCCCCGGCATCGATGTTTCACGTCGGCGACGCTTTGCGAGGGCAACCAGACGCGAGCGGGACAGCAAGCGCGGCATCATGTCAGAAAAGATTGGTCGGCATGCGAGAGCTGCTCAACGCTATAGGGTCACGCAGCGCCCCGAGGGCCAAGGGGCGCAGGCAGCAGGTGGATACGGATTTCAAATCCACGGCACTTTTGGCCCATTTCTGGCGCAGGCCCGCAGGAGATTCGGTTACTTCTGCGCGGCCCCCACCAAAGGCCGATGCCTGACATCCCTGCTAGCTTCGCGCACCCCTGGCCAAGACCCAGGGGCGTTGCCGATGCGACGTCGCGGACCGCCCCCACCCAGCACGCGGCTGCAGGTGACGATTGGACATTTACGGACGATGCGCACACAGAGATCAAGGCCCTGGACTCCCACAAAGGCTTCCCCCAGGACTTCGCCAATGTTCTCGAGATGCGCCAGTGGAAGGCAGCAAGCTCCCACTACTGTGGCGGAGGCCTGGAACTGGGAGCCGACTGCGAGTCGCATCGCACCTTGCTGAAGCAGCTGGACGAGGCACCCAAGCATAGGCATCGCCTCTCGGATGTGATGTTGATGCGTGCTGTCGGAGGAGCTTGGCCAAGAGTCCGGGAGAAGGTGCAGCTCGTGGGATTCCAGGGTTCGGAGATATGCTAGCGTTGCCACCAATATCCAGAGACGTTACTACATCGGCGTTGGACGTGCGAGGCGAACAAGGGCAACGTGGCGCACGAACGCGCCAGTGAACTAATGCCGCAGGCTGTCGCTCAGTCCGACCTGGACCTTGCCTTTCGGCTGCGAGGCATGATCCCAAGTCGTTGGACTGGAGTGCCTGCGCCCCCCGAAGTTGAAGACTGGATTGCTTCAGGATCTAATGAGGCTTGCTCTGTTGGATTTCTGGGGCCGGGGGGGGGCCCTGTAGCCCCGCTGACCCAGTTTGGGGATGCCTCGGGAGGACAGGACACCTCCTCTAAGCGTTTCCGCAGGGTCGGTCTTGGGATTGTGCTTTTCAAGTCTCTGGAGCCCCATGTGGACATCCACACCTGTATCTTTGGGCCCCTAGTTGGGCCACGACAAGTAGTGGGCCGCGGGGAGCTCCGAGCCTTCACTCTCGCGTGTTGGACCACTCTTGGGACCATTATATACGTTGCAGTTTGTGAGTCTGTCGCGGTAGGATGCAAGAAGTGGCAGAGGCCAGTCGGTGAGGATGCCGACTTGTGGGCCCCGCTTGGCGGGACCTTGCGAGCGCAGGACCGTCGCCCCGAATCGATCACCGTCCTATTAGTTAACTCCCATCAAGATGAGCTTGCTTTCGCTAGGAATCGTTCACTGGGGTGGGTCATCAAAGGTAGTGTGTTGCCGACGTTGTTGCTAGCGTGGCCGCCCGACAGGCTCGTTTGCCCGAGCACATCCGTCAAGGTGTTTTGTTGCATGAGCGTCGTGCGTTTCTTGTTCGAATGAGGTTATTCCGGTCAACCTTAGATACGTTGAATGTTGAAGCGGGTGTCGTTGAGGAAAAAGGGCATGTTGTAAAACCTTGTCGGGGTCCTGCTGTTGATTATCTCTCCCTCTTCTCCTCCTCTCACTGTCTGGATGACACGGGGAGGGCATGTCGTAGGTGTGGGGGTCAGCGTCTAAGGCCACCATCAATCCGTTTCTTAACAGTCCGCGTTTCCAACCATTAAAGTATGACGGGTCTATCTTTTACAAGCCCCCACTCCAAGCTCAACTTCGCATAGGGGGTGGGTGGACCCATCCCACGATATGCAGTTTTCGCCGAAGCTTCGATTATGGCACGGCAAAGCGCGCGGATGCTACGTTTGTGTCGTTCTCCGTGAAGTGGGGAAGATGTGCACCGATAGGGTCACTCCCATAGGGCAGAGTATCGGAGTCGCATCTCGCGCGGCCTCGAGCCCAAGGTGCTGAGTGCCGCCGAGAAACTCAAGAAAGGCAGAATTTAGTACAGTACGTCTGTGTTTCCCTGTGTATCACACGTGGGCAGGCATTGGTTGACATTGTCACATGGTCATACTCATACTCCTTCTCCTCCTCCTCCTCCTCCTCCTCCTCCTCCTCCTCCTCCTGTGAGAATAAGAATTTGGAGCTGCTCGTCTTCGGCAAAGCGCAGAAGTAGCAGGTTGATCTCAAAGGCTTCAGCTACAGCCGAGGGGTCAATGCACCTTGGAACGGAAAAACATGCGAAAAGAAACTGGAACTCAACACCGTCAGCTGCGGTCTTGGGATCAACACGCCAGGAAGTGTAAGCCATTGTGACAAGGAGCTGGAGCAAAACTTATTCGCATAGAGCGGAGGAAGCAGCTGGAGCCCATCCGTTCCACCTACAGCCCTGGAAACCCAGTGCAGGGGGGGAAGCCATAGACACGTGCGAACAACATGAAACCACCATTTACGAGAAAAGCAGCCACGCCATTAGGATCAATGACCGAATGATGCCAGTAGATTCGGAAACAAGCTGGAGCCTAATACTGTCTGGCGACAGCCTTGGGAACCAGACAATATGGAAAGAATATGTGCGGGAAGAAGATACAGCCCAACAACATCAGCTACAACCGTGGCATCAGTGGCCGAGGACTGGAAGCATGTGCAAAACAAAGCGGGAGCACAACCGTTTTCAGCGATATGTTTGCACATCATCGGCCCTGGAACGGAGGTTTACTTTAGCCATGTGCGAAGAACCTGTGTCGAGAGCCCTCGGCTACAGCACAGGGATCAGCTCAACCGAGGCCCGCACGCGGCGTGAGGAAAGCTGGAGCCGTCCGACTGCAAGTAGAACCTGCTCCCGACCCAGCGCATACGCGAAAGGCCCGCGGCATCATGGGAGGGCGGTGGCCCACCCTTCCAGACACAGCGCGAGGCTTGCGCGGGCTTGCGCATGCGGGACGGCCGGTGCATACGTCGCCCGTGGGTGGAAGAATCTCGACTGCACCTAAGAGTGACCCCTCGCCGGAGCGACCTTCGGTGCAGGCCCGATGGGGCCCGCCTGGTGGTGCCCCCAAACGGCCCCCCCTTGGCCGCGCACCAGAGGTCGCTCTTGCCCTGGGCTTGGCATCGCTCGGACGTGTGCGTTTTTTCCTCGGCGAGGACCATCGAGGAGCATCCTTGATCACTTGGCGAAAAAAAACATGCACGAAACCGAAAAAAAAACACAGGGAATGGACGTCCGAGCGATGGCCAGTGGGTCGCTGCGGCGCGTCGCCGAGGATGGCCGGGGCGGGCGCCGCTGGCGGAAGCACCTGCCCCCGCCCGCGCGCGGCTCCGTCCACGGGTGGAGCCGCGGGCAGTAGGTCGAGACTTTCCCCCTCCTCCTCCTCCTCCTCCTCCTCCTCCTCCTCCTCCTCCTCCTCCTCCTCCTCCTCCTCTTCCTCCTCTCCTCCTCCCTCCCCTCCTCCTCCTCCTCCTCCTCCTCTTCCTCCCTCCTCCTCCTCCTCCCCTCCTCCTCCTCCTCCTCCTCCTCCTCCTCCTCCTCCTCCCTCCCCTCCTCCACCTCCACCTCCTCCTCCTCCTCCTCCTCCTCCTCCTCCTCCTCCTCCTCCTCCTCCTCCTCCTCCTCCTCCCCAAGCCCCCAGTTCACGCCCCTCTCGGGTCGGGAGCACACACACACAAACAGAGAGCTGTCCATGCCCAGGACACGTTCGAAGAGATGAGAAGTGGAGGGGGAGACGAACATCAAGAAGAGACGGAACACGGGGGGGGATCTTGGGATTTTTTGTGTCTGTGTCTATTTGCGTGTCCCTGGGCCCCCAGTATCCTTCTCCCCCGCCTGTTTGCTCTGGCGTGGCAATATCAGGGTGCAAAAAACAATGTTACATTCTCAGGTCAGGTTCGCCTGTAGGGGCTCGTCGGGCCGCCAATGAGCCGCGGATGATGCCGCTTTTCCTCCTCCCGCCTCCTCCGGCGTTGCAATCTGTCCGTGGCGTCGGCCCCTGGGGGCTTCGACCGCTTCCCCGGGCCCAGACTTCTGTCCAGGGCCGCTCTGTGGCACGGTCCCCGAGGTCGGGAGGCGCTCCCCCCCACCCAGACCAGAGGCCGACGAGGACGAGAGATTGGCCGTCGCGGCTGCTGCGTGGTCGGGCTCCGAGGGGAGCCTCCGCCCTCCTGCCCTCCCTTCCCCCCCCCCCACACCCGCCCTGCGCCCTCCGCCCCAAACGCCCCCCCGTCCCCCCCACGCCTTCCCCCCCTACCCCTCGCCCCCCCCCCCCCCCGCCCCCCTGCACTCTTCACCCCTACGCCATGCCATGCCGTGCTCTACAATGCATCGCGTACCCTTTCGGATCATTGCCCTGCTCGACGTCCGACTGTGCGAGCAGAGAGGGGATCTGCGCCAGGGTAAGGGATGGAGGAGGATGGCGCACGCGAAGCTTGCCACCTATGTCCCACCGCCCCCCCCTCCCCCTGCACCTCCTGCCCTCCTGCCCTCCCCCCCCCTGCCCCCCCTCCTCCCCCCCCCCCCCTCCCCCCGCCCGCCCGCCCTGCACTCTTCCCCCCCCCCCCCTCCTGCCTCCCCAGCCCGCCCTGCCGTCCCCCACCTCCCCCCCCTCGTGCCGCCGCCCGAGAGCGCGCGCACCTCCTGAGGCGCCGCCCGCGGCGGCCACCGGCAGCGCGGATCACAGGCCGCTCTCTTCTTCTCTCTCTCTCTCCTCTCTCTCTCTCTCTCTCTCTCTATCCCTCCTCCTCCTCCTCCTCCTCCTCCTCCTCCTCCTCCTCCTCCTCCTCCTCCTCCTCCTCCTCCTTCCTCCTCCTCCTCCTCCTCCTCCCCCTTCCTCCTCCTCCCCTCCCCCCTTCCTCCTCCTCCTCCTCCCCCTCCTCCTCCTCCTCCTCCTCCTCCTCCTCCTCCTCCTCCTCCTCCTCCTCCTCCTCCTCCTCCTCCTCCTCCTCCTCCTCGTCTCCTCTCCTCTCTCTCGCTCTCTCCGCTCCGAGGGACCCCCCGCGGCCTGAGCGCTGCTGCTCCCGGGGGGCCCTGGGGCCCGACGTTGTCAAGCCTGCAGCATCGAAAACACAAGCAATCACGACCGGAGCGGAGCCCCCGACCCCAGCTTCCCGCGCCATTCTTCGGCCCAGATCGATCGGTGAGGGCCCCAGGGCTCGACATGGAGCGACAGACGCCCAGCGTGGAAAGACGGCAGCAGCGCCAGGATCTCAGGGGGCGGGGGGGGCGGCGGGCGGCGTTTCGCTACGTTTGGGCTCCGGGGCCCCTGCCGGGCCCCGCGACCGTCAAACGATGATTAACACTCGGGAGGAAGCCCCGGCCGGTCCCCTCGCAGGGGGTCCAGGCCTTTGGTCTGCACGAACGAGATGGGCACGGAAAGAATGGGCACAATGCCCAACAGCAGTTCCTGTTCATCTTGAACAGGACTCGCTGTCCGCGCCGCCGCGGCCTGTGCCCATTCGAGACAGAAGGCCGCCTGCCCAACAGCGGCCGCTGTTGGTTTGGGACAACATTTCTTGTTGGGCATTGTACCCATTTTTTCGGTACCCCTTTCGGGTGTCCAAATCTGGGGAGCCACGCCGTGGCAAGACCACGACGTCGGACGTCCGGGAATGCGGGTCGGCCCAGAATTCCCAGATCTCCGACGGGGCACGTTGTTGTCAATCCCGGCGCTTCTCCTCGTCTTCGGCTCCAGGGCCCAGTATCGGACCCCGAGATTCTTAAGATTCGATCTGGAGCGAAAAATTGCCTCACGAGAAGGGTTCGGGACCTCAGTGGCCGCGGATTGAAAAAACGTATCGAACAATGTTTGGGGTTCGGCTAGGCGCGCCTCCCTTCGGTCCTGGGGGTCCAAAAATCGCGACGGCCTGTTTTCTGTAGTTTCCTGCCTCTGGAAGCTAAGCCGTGTCCTGGTCCCGGGATCGTCACAAACTGTTCGGGATGAAAATCTGGACCCCGTGAAAGGGTCGAAGTCTTGGGAGCCAACGTCTCAAAAATTGCACACGTCGGAGGCGACGTTAAAAATAACTCTTCGCCAGTGTGATCCTTGGTGCGGGTCCACAGTGGTCCCCCCAGCACTGGTTTGAAGCGGCCTGCCCGCCTGGACTTGCCCCCACCCCGCCTCGCGACCCCGCAAAGCCAGGCACCAAGAGCAGCTCCTGCCCAGGGCCGCTCTCCCCTCCTGCGCGCAGCCGACGTATGGAGTCGGTGCAGGCGGAGTCGGAGGATCGCGCCGCTTGGCCGATGCATCGGCGATGTGGCACGATCCGGGCCTGAGGACTGGCTCTGTCCCGCCCCAGTGCCGTCGGCACGTCGCCGACGCATCGGCGGCCCGATGCGACCCTCCAACCCGATCTCTGCTCCGGCCGCAGATGGGCGGCCTCTCCAGGCAGAGGGCGAAAGGCCAGGGTCGAGGCTCGAGGATCGAGCCGTGGCGGCGGCGCCCTTTGATCCGAGGACGGCGAGAGGTGTTGTTGGTCGGGGCGGAGCGGTTTCCGGCGCAAGGGCGGTCCGCGGTTTGAGGTTCGAGGATTTGTTTGTTTCCTCTACAGGTTCATTGGCTGTCGCCGCACCGCCGACCCCCTGGGAGCCTTTAGATGCCTCTCCTCCAGGAGGGCGTTGTCGTAGAAGCGTCTTGGCGCCGTGCGTCCATTTGAGACGCCCTCCAAAACGAGTTGTTCTTCCATCCGCCATTTCTTCCCACATATGTTTTCCTACCTCGCTCTTCCCATGCTTCCCACATTCGCCCTCCTTCCCCGTTGTATGCACGCAAACACCTGGTTTAAGGCCTGGAGTCGTGGCTCCATCGGGTTTAGCTTTGCATCCGCTGACGTTTCGCGAGTGCCTCAATTTTGGTGGTTGATTTTTTTTGTTGCGAATGTCGGCCATGTGGGATTTCCACTGGCACCACAGACCAAGATTGATTCGAAGGTCAAGCGATGAAGACGGATGACCAAAACCGTTGTACAGGACGTTAGGGGCGGCGACTATACCAGTCGATCCATTCGCAGCGTAGGGCTTGCTGTTCGAATCAGCGCACAGGGCAATATTGACAAACATCTCGGGTCGTTCGTAGTAGCAGATAATTCACTAGTAGATTCGGTGACGCATCAGAGATGGCGCGCTGGTGGGGGGAGAGGAGGAGGAGGAGGAGGAGGAGGAGGAGGAGGAGGAGGAGGAGGAGGTGCCTTCCGTCTCCTCCACGCCCCCCCCCCCTCCCCCTCCCTGTCCTTGTGCCCCACCCGCCAGTCAGCTGGACAGCGCAGCACGCTGCCCCTGCGCCTGTGCTCCGGGCATCAGCGGCCGGACAACGACCACAACCACGGTCGGCCACGCGCAATACCGAAGCGTTTCGTTCTTTTGGCCTCGGTCTCACCGCGTTCATGACTAAACCTCGCACTGAATAAGAGGAGCCTTGCAGGAAAGGGGTCTTGAAGGCAGGGTTTGAGCCAAACGGTGTTGGGGGCGAATTCGTGGGCCGTTTCCGTGTTGACTTCGTTTCGCAGCAAAGGCAGAACAAAGACGGAACGAAGGAAAACGAAAGCACAGCGAACACGAAAAACGTTGTTGAGCTCGAGCCCTGCCTGAGGGTGTTCGCCGTCTTCGGCCTCAGAGGGCCCTGGGCCCTAGGATCGGACCGGACGAAAGGGGGGGATTGGGAAAGGGGGGGTTACGAAATTTGCTGCATGCAGCTGGTTTCGGCCTCACCGAGGGGGCCATTCCTCGATACATGGGCGCCTCCGGCGCCGGGAGACGCCGGGAAAATCAGCTACTTGAGCTGATTCTCAAACCCCCCCTTTGCTATCCCCCCTTTTCGCCCGACCCGATAGGACCACCGTCAAGAACGCCGCAGGATGGGAAGCCAGCCCTGGGGGAAGCCCCGGGGCTCAGGACCCGGCGCCCGCAGCCTCCTTTTCCCTTTTTGTCGGGGGCGGCAGAGAGGGAAGGGGATGACTAAGGGGGGGGTGGATATCATGGCGTGGGCCATGATTTTTCCCCAGATTTCATGGCGCCTCTTCTTGTTTCAATGCGTCCCCAGCCCCCCCCCCCTCTGGGCCGCGCACGTGCCGCCGGTCATGATTTGCACGCCGCCCTCTTGGGCGCCCCCCCTCTTGACCGCCCCCGATTTTGGTAGCTCGCTCCTGGCCGACGGAGTCCCAGCCGCAGCTTGCACCCGAAGTGGGGACGATAGAGGTGGATGCGTAAACAACGGGTGCAAAGTCCAACAGCAGTCCTGGTTCATTCTCAACAGGGTTCGTTGTCGGCGTCGCCGCGGTCGTTGTCCATTTGAGACAGAAGGCCGCTTGCCCAACAGCGGCCGCGATCGGCTTTGGGCAACATTTGTTGTTGGGCATCGTACCCATTTTCATCGTACCCGTTTCGGGCGTCCAAATGAAAAAACACAGGCCGCCCTTCCAACGGGTACCCTGGGAATGTCTTGAGCTCCACTCGAGAACCTCCACCACGCCACGACCACAGGAGGGCGGGGGGGGGGGGACGATCCCATTCGCGAGGCCTTCGCGAGGCTCACGAGCGTACCCATCCAGCGGAGCGGGGGGGCTCGATCCCCAATGCTTCTGGGGGGTGGGGGAGGGGGGGTAACCCTGCATCGTATATATATATTATATATATATTATATATATATATATTATATATATATATATAATACATATATATATATATATATATATATATATATATATATATATATATATAATGTATACACACACACACACTTCCCTGGCCAAGCAAGGGGGTGTATGCACCGCCCCTGGGCCCAGGATGGGCCTGGCCAGGGGCTGAAGGAGGAGGAGTGGTGGAGGAAGAGAGGCTGAGCAGAGAAGGAACACGCAAGAAAAAGGAGGACCAGGAGTTAGTGGCCAGTGGAGCTCTGGAGGAGGGTGAGGACTAGAGTAAGCCCAAGATGCACCGACGATGCTGCAATACACGCCCGTCTCAAGTCCACTCCGCAGTAGTCCCTACAAGCACTGTTCATTTTCTTTGTTGGAAGCGCCCTCCCTTGAAAGGCGAGCGCCCCAAAGGAGCGCAATTGAGGCGGGAGCTCCGCTCTGAAGAGGATGGCCCTCCAGCTTTCGAGCTACGACGAATGCAACGAGGTGGGGCTGTACTTCCAGGAGGCGCCCAGCAACGGCCCCGCTCTGCAGAGGAACCGCACTGCACCCGCGTAGTTCAGGCACCAAAAAAGCACCTGGGCAGAACAGACTGCAAAGTCTGAGGCGAGAGCCTCATTTTCTGAGAAGGAGCACTGTCGTACGAGTTCACGTGTGTTGCGACACGTTCCAAGAAGTCTCCGAGCGAGAGACCCAGTTTGAAAGCGTACCGGCCCCCATCCGTGTAATTGTTTCACAATTTTACGTGCGCGGCGAGTTGTTTCAGGATATCTTTTGCGAGAACCCCACTTTGAGAACGCACTGGCTTCTATCCGTGTAGACTGTAGTAACATTTACGACGCATGCGCGCGGCGCTAAGGCGAGAGCTCCAGTTTGAAGACGGCATGCGTTTCATCCGTGTAGCTGTTGGAAACGTTTACGACGAATGTCCGCGGCGCTGAGGCGAGATCCACGCTTTTGAAAATGACCAGCCTTCCATCCGCATACTTGTTGGAAGCTTATAAGGCGATTGCGCGCGGCGCTGAGGCGATTTTCCATATTGGATGCTCCATTTCTGTTCAGCTTCGGGACCACAAACTGCAAGGAAGGCTCCGGCGAAACGCCTGGCCCAGCCTACGGACATGTCTGGTGGTGCGACAGTGATGTCGTGTCCCACTCCTCCTCCCCCCCTTCCCTGTGTCTGCCATAGTCGTTTAGGCTTTGCGTCCGAGACCGGACGATGACAGGAGTTCAGGCTTTTCCGAGGGCGCTCGCGAGGATAAACATTCGCCCGCCTCTCGTCCAGGGTCCAGTTTCAATGGTAGCCGGAGCGTGACTCACGAGACGGGGAGGCGGGCGAGCGTCGCTGAGCGATGGCCCGCGGAGACGAAGCCACAGCTTCCGAAGTTGCCGTGGAAGGCGCACAGCATGAGGAACAACCCCCGCCAGAAGAACGAGAAACGGAAAATCGATGGCGAGACGACTGGTGGGGAAACGGCTGGTGGGACGATTGGTGGCATCAGCCGTCACGAGACTGGTCGGCATGGAACTACGACAAGTCTCTCCCCACAGAACGATCGAGAGACTATTCAGCCCCTCCTGAATTTTTGGGTCTTGAGCACCTGGAGACGTGCGTGGGAAACCTGTACTCGTTGACCCGTCGAACGGGGTTTCAACCAGATATGCAGGCTGCAAAAGTTCACGAGGGGGTTCCAGTTGAGCTGCAAATTCAAGGGTATCAGAGATTCTCGCGAGTCCGAAGAAGGAATTGAAGAGAGACCAGGATGCGAGAAGCGAGAAGCCCAGCATGCAGCACTGCTCGATCATCACATCAAGTGGGGAGAAACTCTTACCGAGTTCGTGGTTCGTCGAGATGCGCAGCTCGCGCAGGCTGAGGCCCACGGTCTGCATCTGCCCGACGCAGTGCGAGCACGGCACTACGAAGAGGGATCTCAGCTGACAGGTCAGATGAAGGCGAACTCACGGACGCTCATGGGATCCGACATGTCAGCGGCGGCAGTGAGACGAGCACTTCTTCGGCTAGACGTTGCGACAAGATGGTGCTGCCGAAAGCCCAGAGCGCGGTGAGCTCGGGACGGAGCTATGCAGTCACGGAGACGCCTTAGGAGGACGACCTGGGCAGCACCGACATTTTCGAAGTCGATTTCTCAGAGGATGAGGCCGCAGATTTTCTGGCCACCCCCGAGGCGCAGGACTTGTAAGAGGATGGGGATTTTCAAATATTTGCAGAGCTGGCTGATAAGCAGCGGAAGAGGACCTGGAAGGAGCCTCGACAGCAAAAGGCGGCCCGAAAGGTAGATCGAGAATTCTTTGATCGCAAGCGCTCGACATCATCAGGAGGGAACCCTATTCGAATCAGAAAAGACGATCTGAACAGGAGAACACGTCGCACGCATTGCGGAGAGAAGGGGCGATGGCGAGAGGACTGCAAGCGCGCATGCCGATCGAAGGCGGACCGACTTAAGGCCGAGGGGGCATCTTCAGGATCGGCTAAGGGGTCGAGCCCGCCAGCTCAAGCCCGACCGACTATCAACTCCAACGAGGGCAATTTCTTTTCACTGGGCGAGGTAGACTCCCCGAACCCGGCCAACTTCCTGTAGCATGCCCCCGAGGTCACGGAGAGCTTCACTGGCATCCAGCTCCGAGACATGGGGGGCCATGCGTTGGTGGACACCGCGGCGGCCCATGCGCTGATCGGGGAACCTGACTTGAAGAATCTCCAGCAGGCTTTCGAGGAGGAAGGTTTTCGGGCGCACGTTAGATTCGAAAGCGACCTGCCCTACGCGAACGGAGCTGGAGGCAGAGTTAGGCCGATAGCGAAGGCAGCTGTCCTCCTGTCTTTTGGCCGTTGCGGGGCGCTGAAGTTTCCGGTTCTCCCGCGCCCCTGCCCCCCCACTGGTCCCGGCCAGTTTCCACGACTTCTTGGGCGTCGTGATCGACGCGAAGGCGAACGTGATTCATTTTGACGGGGGCCCAGAGGCGACGGCGAAGATGGAAAGGCTTCCTTCCGGGCATAGACCCATTTGTCTGATCCGCGAGGACGCGAAGGAGTTCAAGTTGAATCCTGACCCGGCGAAGAAGTTCCCCAGTTTCGCAAGACAGGAGTCGGGGGAGAGCACGTCTTGGATGACGAACTGGAGAGACCGCTGGGAGATCACGACTGACCGAGCACGGCTTCACCGCATCAAGGCTCGGCGAGATCTGGCTAACAGGGGAGACCTGCATGAGATTCCACTCTTTCGAACTGTTGACCGGGCGCCGCGCCGCCCGCTGCATGTTCCGGGGCGCCAGCGATCACCGGGTGGGGCACTACATCGAGGACGAGTGGAAGCAGGAACCGGAGGACTCGAGGACGCTGGATCGGGTTCTCCGACTTCTACCTGTAGAGCGGTGAGGGGCCAGCTCAGGACTTCCGCCGCCCGGGCCTGTCGTCTCTTGCGCTTCGGCACCCCTTTCCTCCTCTCTCTCGGTCGAGGCATCAGACGCGACTTCTCAGGGGATCAGTCGAGTCGCGGTTTGCGGCCTGCTCTTTCCGTAGTCTCTGGGTTCACGTCTCTGTTAGCTTCCCCAGAGACCTTTCTCGGCGTTGAAGAAACCCGGAAACAGGATGACGCCCCTCGCAGCTCACTCGAGGCGCAGGCTGGCCAGCGTCTTAGCCAAGACCCGCCGCCACACGAGGCAGGCCGCCCCCCAT